AGGACCCTAAATGCAGGAAGTCAGCATTCTTTTCTCTCCAATAGCTTGTCCCTGCTAAGTATATGAGTGGCTCTTTGCCAGATCCATTTAAAACCTTTACTGAGTTATGCAGAAATTAAATGGGTTTTCACTTCAGGGCATAAAACATAATCCAAGAAGGTCAGGCACAGGGACCATCACTTCTTTTCCTACTTTTCCACCGTTTCCTGAATTGCGCTCTTATCCTCTGATCAGATGCAGAGAGCCTTTGCCCTGGACCATGTGGCATGGATGAGTAGAATGTCCTCTCCTCCCTGAGGCTGGGAGCTGGCGAGCTGACATCTTGTGGGAGCCATCCCTCTCCCCGGGCACTGGCTTCACACAGAGGTGTGGGTTGTCTGCCTGAGTGCCTCAGCTACTGTTTTCCAATATTGAAGTCAGAATGTGGCCATCCCGTCTTGTGGCGGGAACTGTGGGCCCTCACAGAGAGTTTTGTTCTGGATTCTTGGGGCTACCTCTGACACTTACGTCTGAGCTAGAGGTCAAGGGGATGGGAGGAGGACACAAGAGAGAATGATGGGTTAGCCAAAAATCTCAGAAAGATCTCCTCAAGGCCCATTTCACCCTGGTGGGCGTGTTGGGACAAGGTTGCTTCACTGAGTTCAGCACCTGGGAACTTCAGTCTCCAGGGCTTTGCATGTGGTGAGTCAGGGTATGCACTCACAGAGTCCCAGCAGGAAAGAGTTCATCTCCTGTATTTCTGATAGAGGCATTTCCATGAGGAGACTACTCACAAGGGGGTGGGTGAGGCTGGAGAAAATAAGGGAGGTTGAGGCACCCAGGGAGTTGCAACAGTGGGCAGCTCTTACACTCCTGGGACTGAAGGGAGAAGGGGAGGAAAATTGTGTTACCAGAACCCACTGACAGCTGGTGCTGGACTGGAGTTGGAAGGAGTGAGGTAGACCCCAAACTCTTTTTCCTTCTGCCCTCTGAGCTCCTCCCAGAACCTCCATTGGCAGAACCCCACTGGAAGCTAGCTAGCAAGGGAGCCTGGAGGTACAGTGCATTGAGGACCTGGGGTTAGGGGGAGGCAGAGGAGGGTACCCAGTGATCACAGCATGGGGAGGGGAGTAGGCAGAGAAAGCCCAGGATGGGCCTTTTACTGTTGGAGCTTCTTGATGGCTCCTTGCCTTACCCTTGAAGGGCCCCTTTTCTGTATCCCTCTAGAAGGCATTCAGATGTTAAAATCACAACTGCCGTCTTCTCAGTATTTACATGCTGGGATGTTTATACCCACGAACTGTGTACTCTTCATACTAACCCTGTGAGATGTTATTAACTTCGGTGTACAGAGAGGGGATTAAGGATCAAAGAGATTAAATAATTAACCCAAAGACACATAGCGAGGCTAGGTTTCCAACAAGGATTCCCTGAAACCTTAGCACTTGGCTGCCCCTCCTCCCTGTAGACCTGATTCTCTTCTGGAGGGGATGAGCATCTTCCAAGCAGCTGACTTGGGGAGGGCAGTCCTAGCCAAGGAACAGCATCTTCAGAGGCCTAGAGGCATGAGGGAGCCTGCTGGGCTCAATAAGTGCAAATAGCTCTACTCCACTTGGAGATAAAATGTGAAGGGGACACAGGGCCAGACCACAAGGGCCTGTGTTCTGTGCAAAGAGCACTGGGGAGTCAACAGCTGGTGAGAATGAGGGGGCTGCCTGCTGCTGCCTCCTGTTCCCAGAGGAAAGAATGGTTGAAATGGGCAGTTATGAGCCTGACCATCCAGCCTGGCATGTGCTTGCTGACTGGGTGAATCAGCAAGCTCAGAAGGAGATCATGGCACCTCCTTAGCATTGTTCTCTGGAGGCCCTTTCCAGCCTGATGGGGCCTATAAAGAACACCCCCCCCCTCAAGCTCGTCATCTGTCCTCCCCCAGAAGGACTGCCAGGAGGTCCCTGAAAAAGAAGCCTATGGCTTGGGCAGCCAAAAGGCATTGGGTGAAACCACCAAGAAATGTGTTTGAGGATCTAAGGGCCGCTCATCCAGAACTCCAGAATGAGCAGATCTTCTTGCTTAGAGCTGGTGCTCTTACAGCCACCAGGAAGCCATCAAAAACAGAAAGAAAAATAGATACTGCATTTTAAATTCCTCGGAACCTCCTAGAATGGAAATGACCAAGCCCTGGGTCTAGTTGGCTGGAGGGATGTGGTCAATGGGCTTTGGGAGACTAGTCCCTGATGACGGACGGCAGCTGCTCCAACCTCTGGCTCACCCTTATATTTGCTTTGTTTTCATCCCCAGAACACACCAGTGGGTACGCCCATCTTCATCGTGAATGCCACGGACCCCGACCTGGGTGCAGGTGGCAGTGTCCTCTACTCCTTCCAGCCCCCCTCCCAGTTCTTCGCCATCGACAGTGCCCGTGGCATTGTCACAGTGATCCGGGAGCTGGACTATGAGACCACACAGGCCTATCAGCTCACAGTCAACGCCACGGTGAGTCACCACACTGGGCCCCCAACAACCAGACATCTACCTCTTTCCACCCTAGAAGAGAGAGATGAGGCATTCCAATGGGTTTTAACTCAGTTCCATGCTAATCAAGGATCTATAGTAATGATACTAGCAATAGTAATAATAACAATGACCTAATGTTACTAAAGGTCTATGCTGTGTTCCTGACACTGTGTTAAATGATCTGTCTCTAGTAAACCTCAAGCAGCTGTGTATCTTAAGTGTTACTAAGGTGCCCATTTTACAGATGAGAAAACTGAGGCACAAGAGCAATTCGTTGACTTGCTTATGGTCACCGAGGAACCTAACTTCAGTCACCTATTCTGGTAACTTCCTTGGGACATTCATAGTGCAGAGCATCACTTACTCTCTGAGACATAGGATGGAGGTGTCCACCCAGCTGTGTCCTGATATGCAGGAGCCAAGGGCCTCTTCTCCCTAGAGTGGCAACACAAACACAGCAGGGAGCATCCATCTATGCAGAGCACCCTACTGGTTCCTGGGAATTCCATCTGAGTTAGTGAAAGGCAGGAGGCAGCAGAGGAGTAATTATGCTATTTTGTGGCTGACTCTGTTGAGACTCACACAGTGGATAAATGGGGGGAGGGGCAAGAACCCAAACCCAGGCCATCTAACTCCCAGTGCAGTGTTCTGACCACTGTGCACCTGGCCAGAAGTCTCTGAATCTGCAGGACATCACAGGTTGGCCTCTGTTGTCAGCCGGTTGTGAGGGCCCAGGGACAGGCAAACCACACCCTAAATAAGTTCCTAACCTACTCCTCACTTCCCTGTTCCTCGATTCTGCCTCAGGGCACCATTAGAGACATCACCTGGCAGCAGAGCCAGAAGTTGACCTATTTTAGGGCCAGTAATCTAGCCAGTCTGCTTAGTCTTGGCAGCCAGTCTGGGAATAATAGCAAGACCCCATCTCTAAGAAAAAAATAATTAACCAGCCATAATGGTAGGCACCTGTAATCCCAGCTACTTGGGAGGCAGAAGCAGGAGGATCAGGAGTTTGAGGCTGCAGTGAGCTATGATCGTATCACTGGACTCTAGCCTGGACAACAGAGCCTGTCTCAAAAAAATAAGGAAAAAAAAAAAAAAAACGTTTAGGCCAAGAGCCAAACATACTACAGGAATCTCTCTTGACCATCCAGGATCCGATTGATTGACACACAGCACCTGCCTCTGGACCTACGTAGCTGTAGGGGGGCTTCCCAGCAGCATTGTCAGGTCACAGAGCCTACATCCCAAGTTGGGGATCCAGTTTTGAAAGATGGGGCTTTCCCAAGCATTGGCCAAGATGCAGAGAGCCCTCAAGACCAGGAAATGCAAAGTTCTTGTTTGACCCTGACCCAGTGTCCTGTGGGACTATCACTATAAATGACACTCATTCTTTCCTTCTCCCCTACTTAAGTATTAGTCACCAGGGAAGATAGGTGCTGCTGCTTATAAAAGGGACTTCTGGCATCAAGGGGCTTGCAAGCCCAAAATTTGCTTTTTGTGCACACTTGCCAGCACTTTCCATATGCCCTTGCATCCACACATGGCTGTCCAGCATTATTCATTTGTGCACATCCAGGCCCAGAAATGCCCAATACTTATCCTCTTTCTCTAAGAACTGTTTGCTGTGGGATAATTCTTCCATAAAAATGGCTTCCAGCCTTGGAGAATAGACCAAAATTGGGCACAGGGAAGAATCCAGGTGGCTAGGTCTGCCAGGATGCCTGGGCTCCATCTGGGAGGATGAATACAGTTAAATTGCTGTTCATCTCCCGACAGTCAGGTCTTGCAGCAGAGGACAGGAGAGGCACTGGAAGTCCCTCTGTGACAGCTTCCTACTTTCTCCTGGATGAGCTGACACCACAAGTCCCTCTTGGGGCTCGCGGGGCCTGTATCATTGGCTGCTAGACATTTCTACAAGGAGATTTTTCTACGTGGAATTGCAGGGAGCAGTGTGGGTTCCCAGCTACCAGTGGGTCTTGGGTACCAGGATGGGAACAAGCTGCTGAGAGCCATAGGCCCCAGTGGTCACAGCTGGAGCCTGGCAGAAAGCCTGCCCTGCAAGATGTACCCACTGCTGTCCTCTTTCCCTACCACGGAGTCCAGGGTGGGTTGGACAGGGGTGTCGGTGGCACAAACAGGATATAAGCCACAGGTGTGGATGGGGAGGGCATGTGCCAACCTGGACAAAAGCCAGCTGCCCACAAAAGCCTGGTAATGGCAAATTAAGCCAAATTTTCCCAAGAGGTCAGGGGACTTGCTCTGAGCATCCCCATTCTGGTCCTATGTCCCTGTTCAGGTCTCTGACTGGAAGCACTCCCTATGGACAGTTCCCAAGCCTGGGCTATGGGCCTCTGGCCTTGATCCTAGTGGGCTATCTCCCCACAGGCCCTCTGCTCACCTCCTGCTTCCAGACTTGCCTCCCCCTTGCTGCACCACTCCCACTATCTCTTTGGCTGCCCCTGAGAATCTAAAGGCAACCAGCCCTCCCATCTCCTAGGTTCTGGTCGGCAGGAGCAGGTGCCAGGCTTATAATGTCTGGAGTGCTTGCATTGTTTAAGATAACAAAAGGAGGGTATCTTAGAGTATTTACAAGTCCAAGGTCGTTCAGTTGATCCCCTTCATCTCACAAAAAAGAACACTGAAATTCCTGGAGGGAAAAGAACTCCTTTGAGGTTACCCAGCAAGTTAGAAGCTAAGCTGATATTAGAGTTCAAGTTTAGACTGTTATGGTCAAGTTTTTATGTGAGTTTGAGTCCTGGCTACCCAATTCTTAGTTGTTTGACTCTGAGCAAGTACTTAACCTCTCTGAGTCTCTGTTAACTCATTTGAGTATTGGACCCATAATGTTAATAATTATAAATGTAAATGAAGTGCCCTACACAGGGCTGCTCTGTGATCTGTATTCGGCACTGGAGTTGCCATTATTGCTGCTATTGTTTTCACTAGCAGCGGGTACTTAGCAGCAGAAGATAGGAAGATAGGTTTCAGGTGTCCGTTTTTGGCAACCTTTTTTTTTTTTTAATTTTTTTTTGTCAAGCAAAAAAGTCTCAGTGTGTTGCCCAGGCTGGAGTCAGTGGTTATTCATAGGTGCAATCATGGGTCACTGCAGCTATAACTCCTAGGCTCAAGCAATACTCCCTCTCCAGCCTCTGGAGCAGCTGGAACTGACTACAGATGCATTGGTGAACTTTTATAGGATAACATTCTCAACTAACTCTGCCTGTCTGGCCTCATGGGAGGGCCTGTCTGAAAGGGCTACATGACCTCTCAGGGCTCCTTCCTGGAACACACCCCACTAAACCTCCCCCAACCCTGTCATAGACCCTGGAGCTCCCCCTGCTGGTTCCAATGGGAAAATCGCTTGACTAGTAAACAGCCCAGAACAGAGACCAGGGTCCCAGAGTCGCTCCTGCTGTAACCAAAGGGACTTTCTTCTGAGGAGTTCCTATCCTGTACAATCCCCTGCTGCCCTGGAATGAGAAGGGACAGGAAGTGGGCACAGAGAGGGACAGTGGCCCCCAGCAGAACGTAGCGAAGAAGCTAAGGATGGCACCCTCCCTTTACCCCAAGCCAGTTCCACAGCACTAGGTATTGGAGTAGCAAGCTGGCCCAGTGGGGCAGGAGATCTGGCTGTCCCCCAGCCCTGCTCTGTGACTCTCCGGGCCTCAGGGACCTGATTTGTGTTTTCCTGTACAGCTCAGGAATCCTTGTAGGTTCTTAGAGGGTTTTTTTGTTTGTTTGTTTGTTTGTTTGTTTGAGCATCTTTTTTTTTTTATTAAATGATGGCTGTGTACATTAATGCAAACATGGGATACAGTGTAGTGTTTTCATATACAATTTGAAATATTTTCATCAAATTGGTTAACATAGACTTTGTCATTTACTTAGTTATTGTGTTAAGACATTTATACTCTAGTTTTAAAAAGATTCACTTATACCCTTGTAAGACAGACCATAGAGGTGGTCCTTCCAATCACCCACCCCCCCTCCACCCATCTGCCCTTCTCCCCTCCCCTCCCCCACCTCCGGTTCTTAGAATTCTGAGCTTCCTCTTACTGAGCCCTTCCCTGTGTGTGTGTGAGTGTGTGCGTGCGTGTACACATTTGTGCGTGTGTGTCACACGTTGTGGGTCTGTGTGTGTGTATACATACATGTGTGTGTGTCCACAACATCACTCAACCTAATTCTTTATACTTTCTCTGTTCCTGAAGGATCAAGACAAGACCAGACCTCTGTCTACCCTGGCCAACTTAGCCATCATCATCACAGACGTCCAGGACATGGACCCCATCTTCATCAACCTGCCTTACAGCACCAACATCTATGAGCATTCTCCTCCGGTAAGACCTCTGGGGCCCTGGGGGACTTCCTTCTGAGCTCCTGTTAGGGATGGGGTCTGGTAGTAGGATAGACTGCCCCTTGTCCTTGCTTCCCCCACAGTCCCTAGGCATGACAGTGAGGGGTATCTTAGCACAGTGAAAATCCCACCCCTCCTCACCCCACACATCACCTCCTCAGCCTCTCGCTACCCTAGTGGGCTCCCAGCAGCAAAGAACAGACTTGTGAGGGAAGTAAAGGGAGCCGCTCAGAAGGTTGTATGTAGAGGTGCCCATGGAAAATCCAGCTAGAGCTAAGGGATGGGTTCGGACTCCATCAGGCTCCACAAAAAAATCTGTGTGGCTCAGCTGGGTCCCTGATGGGTCATTCTGCCTGTCTGAGCCCATCAGCACTTCTCAGGATGTCCATAACCTTCCTCCAAAGGCCCTGACTCTTCCTTGTGAGCCTGTGGCTCTAGCTGCCCTCCCTAACTGCTCACTCTTTGGATTTCTCAAGTCCAGATTTCCAAGAGAGATTCCTGATTTTGTGCCATATCACAAGGTTATAGGTCACCAGCCACCGTGTAGATTGGCTGCTCTTGGGCCATGTGTCCACCCTAGCCTAGTCAGCTGGGACTGAGCATCTTAGAGAACAAAGCAAGTGGCTGTTGGCTGCTGGCTGCGCACTCTGCTGGGGTATAGGTGGGGCAGCTTTTCTCAAGCTGTCAGCCAGGCAAAAAATGACAGGCATCTCTGGACGGGTAGCCATCTGTGCTTCTTTGCAAAGTAGAATGAAACACCCACCTGGGCTGATAAATTGGAGAAGGGCATCTTTGGGCAGATATAACTCCTGGACATCAGCTTAGAGAACAGCATTTGTGGAAAGGAAAACATGCCCCTTCTTTTGAGGGAACTTACTGGAAGCTTGTGCATCTTTAGGGCCCCTACACATCTGCAGAGGCTCTTAGAATGGGGCAGAGGTGGTAGGCAGGCACTTTCCCCCCCAAATTTAGGGGATACAAATGTTGTTCGTTACGTGGATAAATTGTATCATGCTGAAGTTAGGGTTTTCAGTGTATGTCACCGGAATAGTGTACATTTCACTTGGTAGATAGGTTTTTATCCTTTGTCCACTTCTC